ATAAAAACGTCCAATGATTTTTTTGTATGAAATAGGGGCAGGAAATAATGTTCCTCATACGCCATGTCGTACATGGTCGCACTTTTACATGGCGCACAGTGGCGTATTTAATCAATTTAGCCGGACAAAATTCATTGTAAAATTTTGAGATAATTCAATACGGTTTAAGTCAACAGATGTCCGCTGACATAAAATATGCGATAATTTTATTTTTTAACTTTGATTTTAACATTTTTCTTACGTGCAGAAGTGTTAACATTCAAGAGTTATTGACAAAAGTACATACTTTTAAAGTCCTTTTTAACTTTTAACTGACCATATACTGGATTAAGTGAAAAAATTACCACTTTTAACCCTGTACCGCACATGTGGTGCGCAATAGACCCCCCTTGCCAAACCATTAATTGACTTATTTTAGTACGTTCTATAGTTTAAGACCATAAAATCATTTTGTCCGGCTAACTTTCATGGGTTGCGCCACTGTGTGGCGTATGAGTAACATTTTCCGTCTTAAAGTTTGAATTTCTTTTCATTCGCAATGAAAATAACTTGGGAAAATAATCTGATCTAGAGACACGATATAGAGATTCGCAATAACCCAAAATGGAGTTTACGTGTCTCGTCGTTTTTTTTTGTGTCATTTAAGCGTCAGTACAGGGTAATTATATTATTACAATCCATCGGATCAAGCGAAGAGACTACCTTGACAGCTTTGTATATAACAGGCTCAGAAGGGTAGCATCCTTGTTTTTGCATTATAGTTAAGAAAACTGTTTTTAAGATCTTTTGATGCATTACAAGGACATTTCCTATTACAACAAATCAAGATTGAGGAGATCGCGGATCCAGAGCTCAGAAATTATATTAAAAATGTAAATCGGAGCTACCACTGAATCCGATTTCGTTCATAGCTATTCGAGTTCGGTGATAGAATTTTCGTAGGATTCACGAAAATTTGGACTACCATGGATTCATTGATAGCCATGAATATTGTTAATAACTGAATCCTGCGCACAGCTTTCTGTGAAAATGGACCAAAACACAAAGGCATTTTGTCTAAACGTGCGCAAAGTAAAGAATCTTTCTGCCCATCACTTCTCTAAACTAAGAATAGCGACTGGAATTTTGAATACCCCATGTCTGTGGAAGGACTAGAAAAATTTTGTCAACAAAAAATTTCAGTTGTGACGGCTCCATCGGATTTAATAATTACTTTGCCGATTTTTGATAGCTGGAACGCTTTTAAATTTACTCCATGATTGAGAGAGCACGACGATCTGAAGCGCGATTTTGTGAAGAATACGCTCCGTATGTAGGCTTGCAGCTTTAATCAAAAAGCTTTCCTTACCCATATTTGCATGCGATTTTTTTTCTTTTTATTCTTAATTTAATACAAAAGCACGTACTCACCGGTAGTTTTAATTACTGTCAGAATAAAATTGTGATATTTTGACGTAGGACAGTTTTTAAATATTTGCCATCGATACCAATCGAAACATCGTAAATTTGGATAGCTTGAATGAAAAAAGTTCGAACAAAGCTTAAAATAGTATATATATTTACGTTTTTATGAAATACATACTTACTTTCAATGTATTTGTGGCAAGTTGTTGCCGCGCAGCAAATATTAAACTAAACTGCTAATGAGGTGAGTGATAGTTGTGTTAGTAATAAAGTAGAAAAAAGAAAATAAATGAAATGAAAACCGAAACAAAAAGATCAAGTAAATGAAAAACATTAAGATTTATGTATGGATGTATGCACATATCGACGCTTCCAAACCGTACTATGCTGAGTCTGACTAAAGGCTCAGTTATGCATACTTGGCATTACACGAGAGTTAACACATAAGGAATCTGTTAAATGGGCTTTGCGTGTAAGCGGTTACCCAGCGCACAGCATAACGTAAAAATGACATGTTATGCAATACAGTGCAAAGTATGCATAACTGAGCTTGTAATTCTCGAATGACTTGTTGTTGTTGTGCTGCTGGAGTGGACAGTCACTTGGCCAGATATAAATCTGGGTCGTTCCGGTTACGTAGACCCGACAGTCTTGGGAACGGCTCTAATGAATTAGCGTGGTATGGTTTGGAGGTGTCGATATGTAAATTGATGCGTTTTAAATTTAAAATTAAAATTTTAAATATTAAAATTATTAGATAGTGTTGGGATACTGAATATGAGAAAATAATAATTTCAAGTGTGAAATAGATTAATATAAATGGCAAATAAAAAAGGAGTACGAAACAGTTATGATGTGTGAATTCATCGATGGAAAATTATCTAAGGAAAAGTAAAAGACACAACATTTTATTAAAACTCTATTAATGTATGCAATGATTTAATGTCTTACATTTACCTTTTCTTTTACTAATTTCTTACTGTAAAATATTCATTATCAAAGAGATATGAAATAAAAAGCATTCACCGTTTTCTTTATTTTCTAGAAATCCAATTTTGATTTATTACTTTATACGTATTTGATTTAAATTAACTTATTCAAATATTAAAACGCTATTAGTTTTAGTTTATATATTCACATTTATAATCATAAGTTTCGTGCTACTTTTTTAGTTTATCATATTTTATATACCACAATTCTTGGTAATAATGTCATAAAACTTAGCTAATCGATTATCTTATTTTCATTCATGCACATGTAAATTACTGCATAGTTTTTTACAACGAGATTTGCAGCGCCAAACGTGCAGATATTGCATTTGGATTACTATTATTATGTACTTATTTTATTTATTAATGGTATGTTTTTATTTATTCTTTAAAAAATTCATTTATTTCTTTTAGTAATATATATTTATATGTAATTATGTATATTAATTTCTATATACGTATGTATATATACTTATATTAAAAATAATTAAAGTAATAGACAATTATTTTAATAGTCAACTAATGGTAATGCATCGTTGTATATGTACGCATATACCCATTGTATGTATGAATGTACATACAAATGACGATGAGTTTGCCACAAAGATTGTAGAGCAATAAGTAAAAATTACATACGTTTACCTATTTATCTAGGTGAAATTTAATGAATTTCAGAGTCGAACTACAACTCAAAATTTTGAACTTTTTTATTTTTGGCTTTGACTTTTTATACTAAAGCCGGCTTTAATTATAAAAACGAATTAGGAAACTTCACGTTGCTTAAAAAAGCAGCAGAAATCAATAAAACCCCTTACAAGAGGGTAAGCAGTTGCCAATATGAAGTGTGTAACAGCACGTGAAAATGCTTTGATCATAGCAACAAAAAGGCTTCTAGGTATTTCTCGTATTAAAAAATTAATTTCGCAGATATTAAAGTGAAATATAGAAAAAATTTCTTTCATAAACAACAACAATAACTACCTAGCCGGCTATTGTCGCAGACTGCTTTTCATCTACGTCACATGTGTATAACCATTGCNCAAATTATAAGCTCACTGCTATTGCTATAGAAATTATTAGGAACAACAACAATAACTACCTAGCCGACTATTGTCGCAGACTGCTTTTCATCTACGTCACATGTGTATAACCATTGCCTGTTCCAGCTGACGCAATAGATGTTGGTGTTGCAGCTACAATTATTTCACCTGTAGCTGTATGTTGTTGATAATAGTAGCTCACAGTCTGTAGTGGTGGACGTGCTACTGCAGTTGTGCCTGCAGCCGTATTATTAGTATCATGCAGATAAGCAGTATTATAATGTTGTTGGCTTATATGTGACTGTTGTTGCTGAAGTTGGGTTATATGATGTTGCTGACCATTACTATTTGTGGTTATAGTTGCAGTAACACCGACGGCAGTTTGTTGTGATTGCTGTGGTGGAGGTGGTTGGGGTTGTGATGGTAATGTATTTGTTGTTTGTTGCTTAATTGTTGGAGTTTGCTGCTGTTGTTGCTGTTGATGTGCTGATGTGCTCGAAGTCATTGTCGCCGCAAGTGTAGGGGTAGCTGAAGTAGTGCTCGTATGTAATTGATACCTCTGCGCAGCAATAATTGCGTTTGTGGCAACTTTTGCTGTTGCCCCTTTTGTCTATAAACCAGATATGATGACTTCATGTTGCGCGTCGTCATCCATTTCGGTTATCTCTTGCTTGTGTATCATTACAGTTTGGCTATCTGTAGACTGTTGCTGTGATTGCGCTGGCTGCCTCGGTGCAGTTTGACCTAGGAANTTGCTTGTGTATCATTACAGTTTGGCTATCTGTAGACTGTTGCTGTGATTGCGCTGGCTGCCTCGGTGCAGTTTGACCTAGGAATGAGAAAGTTTTTGATAATTCAAATATTGAATTGCCTTGTTAAAATAAGTTAATTAAGTTTTATTTAAGTATTTTTCTATGTTCAGAAAACTTTTGGTTAACACATTTGTTTATTCGAACAATTACCATATTTCAAGTGAATGCCTCTATGCCTCTTCAGCGCAAATCGATCTGCAAACGCCGCCGAACAGATATCGCAGCGGAATGGTTTTTCGCCGGAGTGCACTTTAGCGTGGTTTTTCAAATGTGCTGCTTGCGAAAACGCCGAGCCACAAATTTCACACTTATAGGGCTTTTCGCCAGTGTGTATACGTCTATGATTCCACAATGTGGCATGACGCGCAAAACCTTTGTCGCACACCTCACACACATATGGTCGTTCGCCACTGTGTGTACGTTCATGGTTTTTAAGATGTGGTGATTGTGAAAATTGCATGCCACATGTTCTGACACCTGGAAAGCAAACGGTAGGAAAAACACGTAAGTATATTCAGCTAATTTTTTATATGTACGTATATTTGAAATAAGCGCACTTGTACGGTTTCTCTCCTGTATGTATCCTTGCATGATTTTTCAAATAAACTGCTTTAGCAAAAGCCAAACCACAAATGGTGCACTTGTAATTCTTTTCACCGCTGTGAAGCTTCTTATGGGACCACAAGCTCGAATAACGCGAGAAGGTACCACCGCATATATTGCACGTAAACGGTTTGGGATTTCTATAAACATAAATTTATCATAAGCAAAAGGACTTGTTCAATTATTATTCCAATTCCACTCACTCTGCTTTCGTATTGACAGCCTGCTGTTTAGTGGCCGGCGTGCCTGTACCCACAAACACTACTCCAGAGCCATTGCACTTTTGACATTTTGTCACCTGTTGTTGATTGCGTTTCTTCACTGGGTGATTGCCCGATTGGCTACTTGTTTGCCCATGTTTCGTTGATGCATTTTGCTGTTGGTTGTCCTGTTGCTGCGACTCTGGGGAATTCTCCGATACGACCTGCACAGGGTGTAATTGATGCGTCAATATGCCGCCTTGCGCTGTAAGCGGATCCATTGGCGAAGAATCCGTACTACCGCCGGCTACAAACTCATTTATTTCGCATTTTATCTCACCATCTTGTGAGACAAATATCTGTGTCGGTGTAATACCTTGTTGTGCGGACATTTCTTGATCCGAACGTATGCAATCCTCGCAACGCACCAATTTTGGACCTTTGCGCTTGGCAGGTTGCAACATTTGATTGCCACAAGTGATACATTTGGATTGTGTGAGCTTTACCGATTTTAAACCACTAATGTTGGTCGCGTTCACTGATACTTCATTGCTGGAATTCTGTGCTGTAACAACAGTATTTGTTTGCTGTTGTTGTTGCGGCTGTTGCTGCTGTTGTAAAACGGTTGTGGCTGGCTCTAAAGCTTCCGTTGCCACTATTTGTATCTGCCCCATTTGCCCATTTTCTGTTATAATATTTTGGGTTTGCACTAACCCCTGTGCATTCAGCACAATAGTTTCCGGTTGCGCCTGCTGCTGCTGTTGCTGTTGATCACTACCATCTTGTGTATGTATACGCTTATGATGATTTAAGAGCGCCAAATGCGAAAACATTAAGCCACAAACATCGCATTTAAAACTAATGTTTGAGATGGTGTTCTGTATTGGTGAAATGGTCTGTAAGGACTAAAAATATGTGCATGAAAATATTTAATTGCTCTAGTTAGCTTTTCAACAAACATACTGCAGCAATTGGTTTATTCTGATTAACAATCTGCAAACGTCCTTGTGCGTCCAAAGTAGCAATGCCAATTGTGCCACCTTGGTTAAGTTGCATACCATTCACCAGCGCGTAGTTGTAGCCACCAACTGGTTGTGCAATGTAGCATGTTTTGTTGTCATCGGTGGTTAGTTGGGCTAGATTAACGGTGGTTGCAGCGCCTCCCTGAAAAAAAAAATAATTGTTTAGATTTAACCAGAAGAAATATTTTGAACTTAAGAATGACGAAATTGTTATTCACTTACATTTGTGGTGGTGTAGTAAAATGTTGGCTGCTCGGCCTTCTGCCCCTCTATTTTTGGCTGCTTCAGTATGGTGCCATCAGCTGTTTGATATTGAATTGTGGTGGGCTGACCATTGGCCCCTATTGCATTTGTTGTAAAAATTATATTTTTCGTAAGATCCTCCATCATTGGAGCGAATCAAGTGGATACTGTCAAAGAAAATAGTTTATTTTTATAAGATTTATTAGGAAATCATATAAATACTATAAATTATAGGCTTTTAATTTGGCGCCAATTATGTTCGAATTCCATAGTTCACCAACCTATGCGATTTGTTTACGTCTTTGCCATCAAAATATGTTGAAAACCAAGCAATGAATAGTCGTACTTTTTCAACACACTTGTTAATACTTGACCAGAAACAAAACCTCTGGCAACGCTATAAGAGAGCGAGAAAAAAGGAAGCTACAATAGCCGCACGCGCTACTCGTTGTAAAATATTACACTCGCTGCAATTGTCTCGCACGAAGAGGACAACGATACCAACAAAGCGAATCAATCAACGAAGTTAGGCGAGCCAATTGAAAGGCCAATGATGAAAGAACAAAAAAAAAGCGTAAATATGTACTTATTTCGTAAAAAAAGCACTCTTCTAATTCTACTTGCGCAACTATCTCACGACACTGGGGGTTATTGAAGCAACACTTCCAGAGTTGGCCAGAGAAATTAAAAACACATAATTTCCTTATTAAAACTAATTATGCCAGATGTGCACTTTTAAACATTAATGCGGCTTTATGCACAAAAGCGCGTATTCTGCACTATATTAGAAATCAATGGCTTTTCGAGAAAAAACGAATATCTACCCGAGCGATGGGCTGCATACGACGTAGCGAATACGCGAACGGGGAATTGCGTTCACATAAATTTTATGATTTTCACTTTTTATGATTATAATAAGCACTTTTGTTTTGATCTTACTCTTCTATCTTGTTTTTGGCGGCTTGTGTACAAATATTTCACGTTTATTATTGTTTTTTCTTTTTCTAACAAATTATTCCAGCAACGCGTAGACGCCACCTCAACTCGTCCGTTCAATGATGGTTGTCGTTGTCGCCGCCGTCGTACAAGAGCAGCAACATCAGCCACATTCCACTCGTACAGTTGGGTAGAGCGAGCAGTGTACCCAACGACAAACAGACAAGAAAAGCAATATGGCGGCTACATGAATACAGCACTGACCAAAAGAGAAATGCACAATAGAATTTTTTCACTAACTCCTGTGTTAATATGCAACCACTTTTCTTGCACAAATCTTATGCGGAAACACTTTTTCTTAGCAATTTCGCTGAATGAATATGTAATCGGGTTTTTACCTCGTTAAAAAGTTGTTGAAGGAAAATTTCTTCAACTTGATCTCTTTCTTCAGTTTTCCCCTTCACACATTAGTACAAAATTCAGTGTACGCGGATATACTTTGCCGTTCACACTCGTTCGACTGCTAAAAGAAGACTGAAAATTTCATTCGGATAGCAGTGAGAAAGGGACACCCTAGTCTCTTTTCTCGTAAGTGTTTATGGCGTTGCCAGATGGTTTTCGTATTAATTGGAAAACAGGGAGAAAGAAGAAATCTGAAAGAGAATTTAATTCTTTTTTTCAGTTTATATATTTAGTTTGTGATAAGTTTTAATATGTTTAAAATATTAAATTTGATTTAGTAAACATTGATTTGTGTATCAATTATAAAATTGTCTTTCAAATCTTAAGAAACAGCAGATAAAAATATTAATAGCTACGCCTGTAGGTATGCAATGGTTTCAACCCTGCTATAGACAAAGCACTGAACACACCACTGGATGGAGCAGGGTTGCTGTTTGCTAGCGAATTGACGTTATAATTCAAAATTTAAAAATGCTTGAACTACATACATACATAGTTAAAAATTTTAAACTTTAAAATCCATTTTTAAGAACCAGAAATTGGTTATATGAAATTAATTCAACTGTGAGAAGTATATCGCAGACATTTGTTAATAAATTTGTCTTTTTCGTATAGAAATCGACCCGGTCTGAGCCACAATCCAAGAATGATAGAATACAAGATTGCGGATTCCCGACGGCATACATAGGGACGAATCGACCATGTACGACGACAAAAATGTTTACTCCATATGTATTTGTCAGATTTCAACGAAATTTGGTATTTAGGGATTTTCATCATCACTAATTTCGAATATTAAATTAAATTTGCAAAATTCATAATGGCGGATCCAATTTGCGGTTTCTTAACAAATTTCTATATTTTTGTGAAGCTTGGTGTCCAGAGATTTTCGTAGTCACCGATTTCGAAATTGATATTCAATTTTCAAAAATCAAAATGGCGGATCCAATAAGGCGGACGATTTCTTCAAAAATGTGTAAATTTTTATAAAGCTTGGTATCATGATTCAGTAATGAAAGGTTTCGTAAGAAAAACTTTCTCTCGCTCTAATTTTATCAATGACACTCCTACTCCACTCCTAAAAAAAAACAGTAATATTTCTTTTACAAATTGCTTTGAAATTTTAAGATTTTTTTTTTTTTTAAGTAGTGAAAGCTTTACTTTTCAAGTCAAAAAGCCTAATTCGCTTCACTGACAGTTTATTTTGCTCATATTCGTTGACAATTAATATCTTTTTTTCATGCGAATCCTGGTAGGTAACAATTTACTATGCAATTTTTTAATAGTTAGTGTCAATTTAAGAATACATATATATTATTTGCAGATCCTAAGTTTATCTTCTACTGCTGCTTCTGAGCGGTGCAATCATTCATTTTCATGTGAGTATGCGCTTGTTAATATGATGAAATTTTCTGTAATTGATTCTGGCTTGCAGACTTATTAAGGTGCTCCCCAATACCTCAGCAACAGTTTGCAAATATGTACAAACAAGTAACTAAGTGAATTTTTTTTCATTTTGTAAACTAAATGGATACATATATTTTTGTCGTTTTTTTGACTCGTGCTCCGGCCACGTATTATAATCTGGCCCAACTTTCTCTAGTACAGGCAAGTTGCAGTGCATATAAAAGCAAGTGTTTTAAGCCAACGAAATGTAATGTTTTTGCAGGTTTTGCCTATCTTTTCGCCTCTGCTCCGGCAAATGTCCAAATGGTCATTGCAAGAGGGCTCAAAGGTTCGTGAAAACAGCCTGTGTTCTTTGCATTTGCTTGCCGTATGTCTAAACAGACTTTAGACCACATAATTATTAATCTGCACAACGTGGGATACACTGTTGTGGCGATTGTGTCCAACATGGGTTCCGGCAACCAAACTGTTTGGAAAGAGTTGGACTTATCAAGTGGTAGCTCAGTTAAAAAATGTATATTGTTTGCTTAATTACAGAACTTTTCTATTATTAGAGCAAACATGGTGTCAGAAACCGGCAATGGAAGGCAAAATTTTTGTGTTCGCAGATGTGCAAAATCTGTTAAAGTTATTACAGAACAACTCCCTTGACGAACTAAAACTATTGCACAACTTTTAACTTATACAGCAGCATCAGATGTGTTCATAATGCATAGGGTCATGGGGTTTTCACACAGCGTTGCTAGCGCCATACGTTGGTGTTATACGATGGGATTGGACGTTTACAACGCTTTGGAAACGTCCGAATTCATTGAGACCGTCAACAACTGGTTTGATGTTTTTAACATAAAATTCACCAGCTTCAAAACGGTTCCAACTAAAAAGCCGTTTGGAATGGACTTGCCTGAACAATTGGAAGTTTCAAACAAAATCTTTCGATAAACCAAGTCCAATGAAGTTTAAATACAGACTAAGGAAATATTTGTTGGGCGAATATCATGTTTATAAACAAACAAAAAGACTGCCTATATGTGCAAGTAAGAGCATATCCGTAAATGTAATTTTTATTCACAGCTCATAATACGGAAATTCTCGCTGCGCGTAGGAACGTAGAACCGGACGAAACCGAGTGGCTCCGCCTCAACGATTCTGCAGTGGAAGGGTTAACATCTTTCCTTTCTGAAGCAGATGTTTGTGATGACTTCATGCTTTCCTCACCGTCGGTGCAAGCAGATAACATCGAGGCCCTTCAAGAAGATGCTTTAGAATATATAGCAGAATATATCATGCGAAAGCTTGGTTTGAAAGAGTATGTCGCTAGTGAGCCTACGTATATCTGGGTCGATGAGGTGTCCAGAGGCGGTTTATTAAAACCAAAAGCTGACTTTTTGGAGCAAATAATACTTTTGGAATCAGTATTTATGAAATTCAGGGGGACGACTGTTGCCAAATTAGTATGGGACGTAATATGAGATTTTCGAATGAAAACTCTACATATTAACCCATACCATACCAATTGAAATAAAACACTTAGGTATAGTGGAAAAACTGTATCCAATTTTAGAACACATTTATTTTGCATTTGATGGATTTGAAATTGGATTGATAAGATCATTAAAATTATTTTGGGTTTGAGTTTTTATATGATAAGAAAGATTTTTTTTCAGCTAAAGCTAATAATTCACAATTTTGAATAGTTTTTTATTGATGATATTTTTTACGAGCCGCATTTCTTAATTTAAAAAGTTTATTGGAAGTTTCGGTTCACTATTGCTTTGGAACATATTTCTTTGAAGAATTTATTTTAATTATATTCTTTTTAATTATGTTTTGGCATGAATTTGTAAAATCTTCTAAATTGTTTCCTCGTTAAGATTATTTATAGTTAATATAATTGAGTTATGATTGCTGTTAGTTAATTTAGGTAATATTTGCCAATCATAATTTATGTTTTTATTAATAAAAGATACATCTATAGCTGAAGTTGAA